GAAAAATTTTATTCAGGATTTACCTTACCCGCTAAAAATGATAAAATTAACCAGGCCTACTAATGTTAGAGACCAGGTTCCCGCTGTCTTATTATATTTTGGTCAATAATACATTTCGACCTCGATATTCTTTCGTTTCCAAAGCATTTTGGGGTTGGGAGACGCGCTGTCCCTAATGGCATGTTTCACCGACCATTTCCTCCCCGCCAGCCGCCATCTTGAAGGACAAGTGGCGCGGTTACTAATTCGCATTATGCGGGAGCCTGGGTATGATTTTGAAATTAACAAAAATGGCGGAAAGTTCGATAGAGTACAACATTATTTTATGGAGTTTCGCTTCAAGATATTGAACAAACGTTTGGTTGCAACATACTGAAAACGGTTTATTTATCTTTCAATGTCTCGTAGCAAAGTAGAAAAATCGACAAAGAAAGGAAGCCTTGCATACCTGCAAAAGAGAATCAATTCTATTTCCAGACGGGTAAGTCAGCTGATGTCGCCATTTTTAATATTTTTCAGTCTTTATACAGCGATCAGTGGTAAGCTTACAATGATTCTCAGATACAGCACATCTAGACCATTTTTAGTAAAAATCATTGGAGCAAGGGAAAGGTATTTTACCAAAGCAAATTAAGGACAAAACAAATACGGCAGACAGGTCTCCTTTTAGGGCCATTTCAGGTAACATCCATATCCATCCCCCCTTCCCCCCACCTACTGATGAGGTGTCCTGACTCCCTGAGAAAAGAACCTATTAAATTAGTGCTTCAGCAATTTAGCGTTTTGGAGGATGAGTTGGACATAAAATATAATGGCCCTTACAGATAGTTCTTTTTTTCAAGGTTGATGAATTTTACACTCGTCTGGATGGATCATCATCAATAACATCACCAGAGAGAAAACAACATTATAATGAGTGAGTGCACAGGCCGCCCAGACTTTGTCTATGATCTATGTAACATTTATATCAAGTTGGTGATTGTGTTACGATGGTCAGCCGTTTTATACATATACATATGAGAATGTTTTGAAAAAATGCTCTGATTGCTACATATAGAAACTAACTGAAATACAAATGGTTTACCTTCATGTGTTTGTCTTGCTTTATTTTGATGTTCCTGTGTTTAATTGGACAGTTTAAAGCCATTAAGGTGAGTTGTACTTTCTGTTGACTGTTGTTTTGCTTCCAATAAAGAGAAGCAACTTTTTTGTAGAAGCAAAACATCAGAAAGTATAACTCGCCTAAACAGCTTTAATGCAGGACAAATATAAACTAAACTATGTCTATTTAGATTCTTTTTGACACAAATAGCATCTAGAGCAATTTCCGAAACATTCTTATACATCATCTTAAAGTCAAATGCCTATGGTTTTTGTTTCCATATTGCATCTGCTTTCAGTGGTACATGCGTAGGTGACATTTTTCAACATGCTATGTAAACTGGCCTATGTCAAAAATGTGAGCACAACTGACTTCTTCATGGTCAAACTTGACTTTTAGTCATGAACTGTGGATTTATTTGACATCAAACTAAGGTTCTAAAGGAGTATCAAGAAGTCATTCCGGGAGAAATAAATTGACTGTTTTGAATGTTTACACCTTGCAAATATTACAAGCGGCAGTGGCCCAATTCTACCGGAAGTCACTATTGAGAGCCGATCGACTACACTAAAATCATTTGAATTATCCTGTAAATTGGGAAACATGCAAAGTCAGCAATCTTCTTCAGCCATTTTAGGTCAGTAATTATCACATAATTATCATTTCTTCTGCTAATAACCAGAAAATTTGCCAATTCAACTATAGTTAAACAGTCTTTCAGTTGTTTGCGCAGCGTGTTGAAAGATGGCAGTTGAAAGATGGTCGAAAGATGTCGTCTATGCACGTAACACTGAAAGTGGGTGTAAATGTACCTGAAGTGAATTTCTGAACATTACTGAAGACATTCCTACCACTTCCAAACATTGTAAAGATCCCAGATCCATGTTTTAGTCCATACCACTTTGTCTTGCATGGAGTCAGCTGAAGGAAATGATGTTCTTGGTGAAGCTGGGCAGGTGTTATGACTGACAAAAGTGATGTACTAAACCTAAACCAGTAAAAC